CAAGTCACTTCAGTCAAACTTCAAAGCGGCCAAAATTCATCTTCTGGCAATAGCAACCACAGAATGCTCGCCACCGAACAGCTGCTCAGCTACAGTGCTCAAACGCTGGGCTCCAGTGGCTCTGGAGTGAGCAGTGGGCTTAACAACAATTCAGAGTCAACAAATCGAAATCAACCGAATCAACAGCAACTCTACTACAGCTACTTTTACCAGGCGCTAATGAGCTCGGTGGCTGCATCAACCGGTGCTGGACAATCATCTTCGTCGACGGTTCGTTCGACGTCAGCCACCGTCGCTGATAATAGCAACAACAGCAAGTCTAATCACAAGTCTAGCTAAAAGTTAAGGACAACGAGAGTTTCAAACAAAAAAACATTGGTTCGACTTACCCAAAGGTGGTGATGGTGCCAGTCACTGGCCAACGACAGGAGTTTCATCTTCGGTCCAGTAAGCAACTTTGGTGATGAATGACGACCAGAAAACACCATTATTTGTAGAATCTTCGTTCATAAATCTTCGAAAAGAGATAGTTGGCGACGTTTTAGAACGCAACTAAAACTGCTGGCGAGAGCGAGCAGTGTAAAAAGAAAAACTCATCGCCGGGGGCGTTCGGAGAATACGGACACTTTTCGTTATCACCGGTTTGTTCTTATCACAAATTTTTTATCACCAGTGAATTTCACCACCACCATCTTATTATCATCGGCGCTAATGTGTTTTATGATGTAATAGATGTGCTCTCGGTACTAGATCTACTTTTCCTTCATATCTTCCTCCACCTTCGTCAGCAGCTGCAGATAGCTTCCTCATCCTTATCTTCATCCTCATATTCGACGACCCTCAACATCAGCATTCCAGAGCTCTAACTGCTGGTCACCATTATGGCTTCCATTTCGTCTCTCTACAACAGCCTCCTTCGGCCGATCATTCGCAACCGCCGAGTTCTGGTTCGTTTTAAGTTTTCTTCCTCCTCAAACTCAGACAACTCCTTAAAACCAAAGAAGTCCACTCCAGCAATAAATCACAAACAAATCGTCTACACGCGCACCGGCGACCGCGGCTCTAGCGGTCTCTTCACCGGCGAACGCCGCCCCAAGGACGACGCCGTCTTCGAGGCGCTGGGCACCACCGACGAGCTCTCCTCTGTCATTGGCCTCGCTCGGGAGTTTCTCTCTTATTCAAAACCTTTTCAAACCACAATCGGCGACCAGCTCGAGACAATCCAGTGCACCCTACAGGACCTGCAGTCGACAGTGGCCACGCCAAAGAGCTCGGCTCGGGAGAGACATCTTTTGCGAACAAAGTGGAACGAGGATNCAAGGACGACGCCGTCTTCGAGGCGCTGGGCACCACCGACGAGCTCTCCTCTGCCATTGGCCTCGCTCGGGAGTTTCTCTCCTCTTCAAAACCTTTTCAAGCCACAATCGGCGACCAGCTCCNTTCAAAACCTTTTCAAACCACAATCGGCGACCAGCTCGAGACAATCCAGTGCACCCTACAGGACCTGCAGTCGACAGTGGCCACGCCAAAGAGCTCGGCTCGGGAGAGACATCTTTTGCGAACAAAGTGGAACGAGGATCACCTCGCCGAGCTGGAGGACTGGATCGACGTCCACAGCGGCTGCCTGCCTCCGCTGCGCCACTTTATCCTGCCTTCAGGTGGTGGGCGGGCTGCCGCCTCGCTGCACCTCGCCCGGGCCATCTGCCGACGAGCTGAGCGCCGTCTGGTCCCGCTTCTAAATGAGGACCTCGAACGACTTCTTCCCGCTCTTCAGTACCTGAACCGCCTCAGCTCCTACCTCTTCACGGTGGCGAGGGTGGCCGCCCGGGAAGAGGGCTTTGAGGAGACTGTCTACCGAAGACCGAAACTGTCACCTACAGAAAAGGAGAAAGTGGTCGATTAGGTTATTACTCCGGTAGCTTTATGATGTTAATGGTGTGTGTGTGTGTTCAATGTATCATGATGAATAATGATGTTCCGAAAATAGAGAATAAAAAAGAATTCTTTTCAAACGAATGTGAATGTTCTATAGCGAACACAGGCCACTTTAGTTCCTGTGCCGACAGCCGAGTGTCTGCGCCAGCCGAAATAGTGCCTCAGCTGATCTTGTTCACACATGTGTTGATATTTTGTGCTGTTGTTGACATCCAGTTCTTCAGTGAGATTCTCCTCAACTTGGTGATCTTCTTTGCTGGTGACAATGGAGCAGCAGCAGCCTTCCGGGGAGGATGGTGCAGGTCAAAGAGAAGACGACGTGTCATCGTCAGCATTACCACCACCACCACCGCGAACAGTCTCTCTGGACGCCGAAGACCTGGACCCGGCGGAGGTGCTCCTACTTGCGGATAAACAACAAAGCAACCTTCTCGTGCAGATCCCTGTCCCCGAAGCCAGAGTTTTCAACAACCTCGCCGAGTACTACAGTCGGACTTTTGCGAAGAAGAAGCAGGAGGAGCATAAACCACCACCTTCGGAGGCGGTGATAGACCAGCAGCAAATGAGTGCCACAAAGAGGCCGTTGCAACCACCACCAGAACCAGGACCCAGCAAACCTCGCCGAGGGCCAAAGCGCGACAGTCGCAGCGTCCTGGACAAGATGGCCGAACAGCAGCGAGGACCGCTGTCTCTCCTTTATCGCGCAATGACCAGCGACAGCTTACGAGTTCGAATTCTCGTCCGCCGGCGAAAGGCGAAGCCTCTTCGCACCGAACGCTTCAGCTGGATCAACGGCCACCTCGCCGCCTTTGATAAGCACCTCAATCTGGCGCTGAGAGAGGCTGTGGAGGAGTACGACCACCAGCTTCTAGAAGATAATAATGAAGTGGTGGTGGTAGGCGTTCGCAAGCACACACCACAGCTCTTTGTTCGCGGTGACACAGTGGTCCTCGTTTCGCTGGTGGAAGATGGTGGTCCTTTAAAAGAGTCGTCCGACAAGTGATCATCCTCATCGTTGTCATCGTCATCATCATCAGTGTCCCTTCTGTGATGATTGTTANTAGAAGATAATAATGAAGTGGTGGTGGTAGGCGTTCGCAAGCACACACCACAGCTCTTTGTTCGCGGTGACACAGTTGTCCTCGTTTCGCTGGTGGAAGATGGTGGTCCTTTAAAAGAATCGTCCGACAAGTGATCATCCTCATCGTTGTCATCGTCATCATCATCAGTGTCCCTTCTGTGATGATTGTTATTGTTGTTGTTCTTTCCATTTGCCACTATCATCATCATCATCCCATTAAACATAACACATGCACTGGTTTTGCAAAGTTGAAGAGTGGTCAGCTGAAGGAGTTTAGTGCAGTGAGAAGGGCGTTGATCATGATCGCCTTCTGCTCGCGGTCCTTCGTCTCCAGCAGCTTCGTCAGCACGTTGCGAACGTAGGCGACGTTGACGGTGCTCATCGAGGTGGGCAAGGCTGTCCCCGCTCCCGTCGTCGTTGTCGTCGAGGATGAGGATCGTTCCGAGGTCGAGGTCGTCGCCTTGTGGCTCATAAAGTTGCTGTTCAGTAGCTCCAGGTCGGCGATGCGAGACTGCAATCTGGTTAGCGGGAAAGAAAAGGCGTTGTAAACATAATTTAGAACCAAGAGTGAGTCAGATCACTTACCGGTACTTTTCATTGCTGTACTTCCACTGCAGCTCCCGTATTGAACACTCGTGTTCACGCACACGAAGTCTAATGAGTTTGAGGATAAAGTATCAGCCAAAAGTCTCAAAAAGATTACATTTACTTACTTGTACTCGGCCAGCTCCAGCTCTCGCCTCGCCAGCTCGTTGACGTAGAAGAGCGAGGTGCTGCCTTCCGGAGGTGGTGGTGCGCTTGAAGTGCTANCAGCTCCAGCTCTCGCCTCGCCAGCTCGTTGACGTAGAAGAGCGAGGTGCTGCCTTCAGGAGGTGGTGGTGCGCTTGAAGTGCTGCTGCTGGTGATTATCTGCTGCCCTTGATGGCGATCATCGTCCTCACCATCGTCTTCATCATCGTCGTCCTCATCTTCGGCGACCGTTTCGGAAACGGAGCGCCCTCGCCGCTGGCTCGGAAAAGGCGAGACGACCGCGGTCTCGAAGCTCTTGGAGGCTCGTAACCTTGACTGGAGATTTGCCTCCTCATCTACTTCTTCTTCTTCACCAGTTTGGCAGGCCTTCTCTTGAGTGGAAGTGGTAGAATGAGGACTTCTTTTCGAAAAGCCAGAGTCTATTAAAACCTCAGCTTTCACAGCCGTTGCCGTCGTTTGGCAGGCCTTGTTGCGCAGCTCTTTCTGCTGACTTCGGAGGGAAGTCGGAGGAATGACCGGCGACGACTGCTGCACAGCAGAGGAAGGCGTTTCAAGGCCTTGAGAAGAAGAAGTTGCTTTCTCGGCCGATTTGCACTCTCTTAGTCGTTCACAGTCTGCCTCAAGGCGGGCAATGGTCTCTCGATCTGCGGCCCGCTCCACCTCAACTCTGCCGCAGATGGTGGTCAGCTGGAGGACGGTCTCTTCGAGGTCGGCGATGCGCCGCTGCTGCGTCGCGTCCACCCGTTCCGCACTGGCGATGCCCAGGTTGGCCGCCTGCAGGGCCTCCTTCTCCCTTGCCAGGAGTTTGTAGGCGCGCAGGACGTCCTTCAGTCGGGTCTCGAGCAGCGTCAGCTTCGCCTTCTGCTCCTCCACCGCCGCCGAGTACCGCTCGCAGCCGCTGCAGCCGTTGCTGTGGACTGCTTTGGACATCGAGTTGATGTGGTGAGGAGGTGGAGGTAGGCTTTTAGAGAAGGAGTTCCAGGAGAAGGTAATGAAGGCTATAAGTCGAATGAATATCAATGTGGCTCAGCTGAGTTGGAAGATGTTGTGTTTTCACAAACGTAAACATTGCCAGACATGTCATCGAAATGACAAGTGCTCAAAATGTTTTAATTAAATGGGAGAAATTGAATGGTCGTGAACAGGTTGATAACGGGTTGAAGTTGGCGACTTTAAACTGTCATAGAATCAGATAAGAAGTTGGCTTTATTCACTGCTGCTGATGCCGTCGCCGCTACATTTCGGCCTTGATGCCGCTGAGAATGAAGCCACTGGAGGCGGCCATGACCATGTCCGGGCGCGTTCGGTCGTCCAGCACCTGGTACTTGCGGAGGAAGGTCTCCGAGAGGCGCAGATAGAGGCACTTGCGCTTCAGCTGGGCGAAGCACGCCTTCAGCGGCTCGATGGACGCGCTGAAGATGACGAAGGGTCGAGAGAGGCCGAGGTACTCGAGGAGAATGTCGGCGATGGAGCCCGGGTCGTGCTCCTTCGTCAGCATCAGCAGGCCGTGCATCTCTCGGCCGCGCAGCAGCTCCTGGGCACGGCTCACCTCCTGCAGTCGCAGCTCCTTCTTCGTTGAAATGGACGGCTGGGCAGCACCAACATCGCCGCTGACCTCAGCAGTGACCTCACCTTCTTCGGTCTTCTTCTTCTTCTCCAGGTCTATCCGACAGACGTCGTCCAGGCTGAGACTGAGAAGGCAGCCGGCGACAGTATTTTGAGGGTAGTTGAGCGCCTGCACTGCCTGCCGACTGCTGCCGCTGGGAATGGTCTCGACGTGCACCTGCACGATGTGCCCCTGTCCGCCGGTGCGCTCCATCAGCGCCGCGCTGAGAATGCCCAGATTGGAGTCGACCACCATGTAATCGCCGCCCGCCATTACATTGCACAGGGTGAGCAGCTGTGACAGGCTGTCAGTGCGGAGACAGCTAAAAACAAAGTAAATGAAACGAATTAGAAAACACAACCGAGTTTACAATTTTTTGTTTTGTCCATTTGTGCGCTCAACTTACCCGTTCTTGACCGGTCCTTTTGCGTAGTACATTTCCATCAGGAACTTAATGTTCGGCTTCAGGACGGTGTACAGGTTGACGTACTTCTTCTGCTTCTTCGCCAAATACTTTTGCTGCGAGAACTTGTTCTTATTCTCAAAGGTTGCGCTGTTTTCCACCAGCGTCTTGACTATCTCCTGGCCGGAAACTTCCTTCTTAATCTTCTCAATATCATCTCTGGAGAGCTTCTGTGAGCTGTTTTTGTCGGTCAAAAATCGGTTGTCTTTGGGCTCCGAAGAATCGGTTTTCCTCGAGAGGACGTAGTCGTGAAAGTTGACCAGCTTCAGCGTCCTGTCATTTGTCATCAGTTCAAAAGTCGAGCCAAACTTTTGTCCTTTAAGGGACGCAATGCTGATCTTTTGCTTTCCCATGAAACAAAATCTGCGAGGTTTAAAAATTAGCCAGGAAAAAAAGATAGAATTCAAACGTTTGACATACTTCTCGCTGCCGATTTTTACCAACTTGTACGAGTTTTTATCAAACGTTCGTCGAATGATAATGTACTTTCCCTCGGTGATGATGTCCTCATCATTGGTTGTCTCCATTGGATCTTCGGCAATTATCATCAAACGAAAAAAGGCTGATCAAAAAAGAATTTTAAAATCGTCAGGAAAACAAAACATGCTGTCACGTGCAGAAGACGAAATAGTCAGTGATTTCCCGGTTGAAATAGTTGCGAAAAAACATTTTGTTCAGAATCCTCTGGATTCACTGAATCCACAACAAACAATCTCAAGCGCAGCCACCTTATCAAGTATTATCCGATTCCGAGCAGACAACCGAATCAACATCAATCCGGAAGAATGGCATTTATCGTCGACCAACCGGTACCAGTGCCATCGCTGCGATGACCCATCCGGAGACCTTCTGTCTCGGGACCTACTGCGGTCGAGTGATTGCCAATGACACCATCGGCGAATGTGGCGTAATTTGCTTACCTAGTTTCCCCAACAAAAAAACTGCCCACCTCTTTTTATCAAAGATAATCTAATCCTTTTTTTTCGCGTTCCACAACAGGGCTGTCCGCGAGGCTTCAGAGCGGACGATGCCAGCATCTGCAGGCCGTGTTCGGAGGAGCTGCAGCTGTACGACTGGATCTACCTGTCCTTCATGGTTATAATCTTCTTTGTGATACAGTGCTTCTTCATTGATCGAAGCATCAAGTCAAACAAATTCAACTACATCTCCTTTTCACTGTATCTGGCGACCATCTGCGAGTCAATCATTGCGTCAGTGCTTTCCATCCTCCCCTTCACCTCTCAGCACTGGGACTTTAGATTGAAGACCTGCGGCGTACAGGCCTTCTCCGATTGGTACACGCTCTTCTTCAATCCGTCAATCAGCGAGGCAAGCGCGTACTGCACCCAGGAGGCCGTCTACCCGCTGTACTCCATCGTCTTCGTCTTCTACATCGTCTCCCTCTGTCTGGTCCTCAGTCGCCACATTTACTTTCGGTTGATATGCTTTATTCTCTACTTCATCACCCGATCAAACTACGTCAAACGAAACTACCCCAAAGACAACGTCACTCGGAACACCTACTACATTCTCTACTCAATTCCGGCGTTGATGTTCACGCACGCAATCTTCGGCGGCATTATCTGTAAGTGACCTTTGAGCTTTTGCGCTTGAAATCGTTTTTAAAAACTTTTGCTTTGGCTCTACTTTATTTCTCAGATTACGTCTATCCGTACATGATTCTAATCGGCTCAGTCATTTCGATAGCGGTTCACTACTCGCGCCACATCGATCAAAGTCCGATTCACCTGCTGCAATCGACGCTTCAGTTTCGCAACTTTCTCATCGTCTTCTTTCACTGGCTACTGCACGCCTTTGGCATAATCTCACTAACCGAGTTGAAACGCAGCACCGACTTTCTCTTCTTCCTCCTCATTCCCTTTCCCACCTTCTTCTACATTCTCACGGCCAAGTTCACTGATCCGGCGGTGCTGTAGGGAATGTGTGTGTCTACTAGCTGTACAACCACCAACTACTGATGATGATGAATGGTACAAAACAACTCCACTTATTGACAAACGTTAAATAAATACTCGTTATATTTATTGTAATATGGTATTGCTGCAAATTTTTAACAGAGGGGGAAAGAAAACAGGAAGAGGAAAAGGAGGAAATGAAGGAAGAAACGGTGATTGATAAGCAAAACATTCAACAACAATGTGGTCAGTGAGAGCGAGAGAGATTGTGTAGAGAGTGGATTGTTCAGCTTGTGTGTCCCAGGTTGTATCACAGGTCGTACGTTTTTATTCTGCACATGTTCTTCTTACACATAGAACTTCATGGTCGGCCGCAGCTCGTACTCCAGCTGCTCATTTCGATACACCTCCATCTCCTGAATTAACAGTAGTGTTAATGAAAGCAAGCAAACTCCAGCAAAGACCTACCGTTTCAATGTACTTCTCCAGCTCTTGCGACTCCTTCTCGTGTGTCTTCTTCGTCCGCTCCCGCTCCTTGTCCTGCTTCAGCGCCGCCCCCTTCCGCTCCTCAATGAACTTCTTGGTGTTGTTGCTGTTCTTCTCCTTCAGCCGCCTCTCCTTCTCCGCCTTGTTGCGCAGCGTCTTGTCGTTGGCCACCTCCTTCGCCGTGTCCACCGAGACCTTCGCCTGTTTCGCCTTCATCTCCTTGTTCTCCCGCTCGAACATCGTCTCCAGGTGCTTGATCTGCATCGCCTGCCAGCTGAGCAGAATCTTCCGCAGGCTGTCCGCCTCGGCGGCCTTCTGCGCCCGGTACAGCTCCCACTCCTCCTGGTGGAGGCGGTCCAGCAGCTCGCTCCACTGCTTCACCTGCCCCAGCACCGCCTCCTTCACACCGGCGTCCTGGCCCAGGTCGGCCACATGCGCCTTGTCCGCCACCTTGGTCGCCTTCTCCATGGCCAGGCACTGGGTCTTCTGCACGGCGCCCTTCTCCTTCTGGTGCTTCTTCCGCAGCGCGTCCATGTCCTTCTGGTGCTTGCGCAGCAGGCGCACGAAGAACTTGTCGTAGCGGAGCATGTCCACGGTGAGGAACTCCATGTGGTAGTCGGCCGCACGCCGCCCGTCCTCCAGCAGCTTCGCCGCGGCGGCGTCCTTCGCGTGGTCGCCGTGACAGCCACCGCCACCGCCGCCGCCGCCGCCCCCTCCTCCTCCGCCGCTTCCGCCGCTGTTTTGCGCCTTGATGTCCGTCTCCTCGATGCCCATCGCCTTCATCTGGTCGATGCGCTTCTCCTGGGCGCTGATGAAGGCCCGCGGGTCGGAGAGGGCGTCCATCAGGTCGCCCAGGCCGTCCGGGACGTAGATCTTCAGCTCGATGCAGATGAAGCAGGAGGCCAGGGAGAGGGGAAAGTTGCCCTCGGTGCGCAGGGAGATGTGCCGGTAGCCGGCCTGCAGGCCGTCCAGCGGAAGGATGCGCTGGCCGAGCATCTTCGCGTTCTCGTCGTAGACGGCGATGCGCAGGACGGCCAGGTCGGGCAGGACGACCTTCCGAAAGACGAACGGCTCCTCGTTGTAGACGGGGTTGAGGCCGTTGCCGGGCACCATGCGCGTGCGAAACTCCTTGCGAATGGTGTCCGTCGGCAGGCCGTACATGTCCACCTCGACGTAGGTGCCCACCTTCTTGTCGGAGAGAAACTGGCCGCTGATGACGCGCACCGAGCACTGGGCGGCAATGACGCCGTCCACCGGCGACTCGGCGAAGGGGTCGAAGATGCGGTCCTTGCGGCGCATAAAGTCCGGCTTGAGGAGGTAGCCGCAGCCGCCGTTGTACTCGAACTTGCCCTGGTTCAGCTGCATCGGCAGGTCGGAGGTCTGGAAGTTGAGGGCGACCATCTGACAGCCGGCGTTCCAGAAGATCTGCGGGAGGAAGTTGCTCGAATCGGCGCGGGTGCCCTTCGGGTAGATGCGACTCAGCTGTCGTTTGTTGTAGTTCACAAACTCAATGGCCTGCGTTTTCAGCAGATTGAGGGCGTTGTTCTCCGCAAAGGAGGACATGTGAAAGCTGAAGAAGTGGGAGTAGTTTAGGTGTTACTTATTAGAATTTTTATGAATTTTAATTTGACTTACTGAATGTCCCGCTCCTCGGCAATGTCGAAGCTCTGGAACTTGATTGGCTGTGCGTAGTTGACCAGTGAGGAAAGGTAGGGATGGATGTGCAGCGTCGCTCCGGTGTACCGGTAATTGGCCATGGCGATCTGCTCGGGCTCCACGTACTCCTTGTGAAAAAGAGATTTCAATTTATTAATGGTCTGAAATAGAAGTTTGGTCAAAAGCCTGCTTACTTTCTTATCAGCACCATCGACGAGCCATTCAAGTGAGGTGTCAAGCAGTGTGCTGGCCGTCACCTCGCCCCCACCTCGGCCACTACACAGTGTCGCCACTTTGCCGTTACTTAGATCATCGGCAGTTAGTATTGCGTTGGGATCTTCGTTCTCGTCGTCATCATCCGCCGCCAGTTGACCCTTCTTCCACAGCTCCAGCTCGACTGAGTGCGGGAAAATGTTAGCAAATCAGCCCAACCGTAATGTAAACAAACAGACTGACATACCTTTCTCCTCCTCCTGATTGAGGCGCTTATTCTTGATTAGAATCTTAAACTTGAGATCATTCGGACTGGGCAGCGGCATCTTCGGCTCCAGCGGATAGTTGGGCAGTGGCTCGTGCAGCAGCAGGTCGCCCAGGATTTCGCTGCAGTACTTTGCCAGCTTGTACTGCTGCTTCTTGCTACAATGCAGTTGAGAAGGGTTGTTGATTGAGGGTAAGTAAGTGCCACTCGCCAGTCAAGTNGTACTTTGCCAGCTTGTACTGCTGCTTCTTGCTACAATGCAGTTGAGAAGGGTTGTTAGAGGGTAAGTGCTCTCACCAGTCAAGGCAACTTACCTGCAGTGATTTTCAAACGACAGTATGACCGGGTACTCCGAGGTGACGAAGGCGCAGTCACGAATGGCGTAGATGACGTCCTAGAAGATCAAGATTTAAAGTGGAAAAACCATAGTCAAATGTCAATTGTTTACCTTGAAAGCAATATCGGTGCACATGGCTTTACCGTGCGTGATGATGGGCTCCTCCTCTTTGCCGTCCCAGCAGTCCAATTCGATGCACCGACATCCAGCGAGCAGCACTTGCCGGTACCTAGGATCAAGAGGAGTACAATGGTTAGTAAAAGAAAAACCACCTCATAATAGTTTTGCATCAGCAGCACTCACATCTCTACGGAGGACTTGCCGCCGAACTGGCGGCCAATGAGGTAGGTGTTGTGGCTGGAGTTGATGTAGAAGTGCGACAGCGTCTGGTTCATGTCCATGTAGATGTCGAGGCGGTCGAGGAAGACCGGCGCATTCTCATCCGACATCAAGTACCGAATGAAGCCGTCCTGCGAGAGGAGGCCCTGTTTGGTCAGCTCGGCGTTCGGTTCGTAGGCGGTGATGATCTCCTGGACGCGCTTCTCATCGTAGAAAGGATGAAGGATCTCATTCAGGCGAGGGTCTCGTTGGCGCTGGAGTCAAAAATTTGAGAATTAGAACTTTGTTTGTTTGTTTACAATAACAGCTGCTGCTTACGTCATTGAGAAATTCGATTAGCTGCTTCACCGAGATGTACATTGACTTGTTTTGCGTTCTGAAAAGCATCGATGTTCTAAGTGTTATGATTAAAAGCCGACAGCGAATTGCTTACATTGAGTTGAACAGCTCCTCAATGTCACTTCGAGGGCAGATCTTGTGGTACAGCTGGTAGAACTTGTCGAAGGTCCAGTCGCCCGGGTAAATGGTGTCGTTCTTGTCAAAAGGGAGCCCCACCTCCTTCAGGCACTGGTAGATGTACTTCTCCGTCTTGCCCGAAGCAAAGGTTTTTGCCACGCTCTTTACTGGAATGTCGCCGTTGGCGTCCGTCACGAAGCCTAGCTTCATCCAACTGAGTGATGGAAAGCACAAATAAAGTAAGTTTTTGATTAGACAATTAGCAGTGCAACTCACTGTTTCTTCAAGCAGGTCATCGGACAGACGTTGTTGGCTTTGTTATTGTTAGTGATTGACCGAAGGCCTTGTTGCCATGTCTGTGTGTAAGGTAAGGAAAATTGGTCAGTGATTCCAAAGAAAGTCCTTCTTCCTCTCTCTCACCGTAGCAATCTCGGCACTGCGTGCCACAATGTGCATGTAGTTGATGTTGACCATGTCCGTGCCGCTGCAGATGGTCAGCGACAGCTCCTCCAGGTTGCCATTGCCGT